GAGCAAACTCAGGGAGGCAGTGAAGGACAGGAAGGCCTGGCGCAATATGGTTCATGGGGTCACGAAGAGTCGGACACGACTTAACGACTAAACAACAACAACAACAACAAATGTAAAGCATTGTAAAATGCTGTTTCTCAGGGTGATAAAGGCAGAGGGCAATGCCATGAATCTGCCCCCTCCATAAAAATTTTTGCAAATCTTTCTTTTCCAACAACAGAGTTCAGTGCCAATAAATGCCAAAAAGTTATAATTTAATGTATAGGTTCCAACATCTTCCTACTTCCCAAATATGCTCCCAAGATGGGAAATGTATGCTAGGTCTACATTTGGTAAGGTATTCCCCTCCATGGCTACTAATGGAAGGGAAAAAACACCTTACTTCCCTTTTCCCCTGCCCCCTTTTGGTTGTATAAGTGCAAGTTTTTCAGGGTATTGTAGAAGGCTGGCCCTTGTCCTTCTTTGAAATTTCTTATTTTTTTTTACCAGTAAGAGTGCTAGATCTGGTTATATGCCACATAGAAAAAATGGGCACGTTGCATGCATGATGTGGAGTTCATTGTCTCTGCCGGTATCTATTTTGCCACAGGACGGGCTGCTTGGTCAATCAGGGTACCCCAAACCATGCACTTCATCACATGACAGCAAGGACCATCCATTCTCTGTGCTTCTTCCATCCCAACTAGGATGCGTAGGTCCAAAATTCACATGTGTTCTGTTACTCTCAAATCCCCACTGTAGCATCTGGTGTTAGTAGACAGGAGGCTTTGTGAAGCACCTGTTAGAAACAACAATCTGTTTGTTAGTGTTGTTATCATCTTCAATGATATTCTGTTGCATATTAGTACTAGAGGGAAATTAATAGCTTTTTGTTCAATAGTGGCAACCCTCACCATCCATTCCAGTTAATTAGCAGGGTTTTTTTTTTCCAGATTTATTTTATTGATCTCCCAACTTCAAACAGCCATTAGGACCTCATTAGTCAACAAATAAAATAATGGAAGGGGTCAGTTGTTCAAACAGTACTGAGCTTTCCCTTGTGCAAATAAAATAACTCATTGAACAAAAGCCAAGGACATGCATGCAGAGAGGCAATACAATAGTGCTGGCTAGCGTGAGCCAAGTTGCATTTGAGAGACGGTTGTAGTGGTTAAAGAGACTGCTAGAAAGTGGGAGACTCTGAGTTCTAGTTCTGTCTTAAGTCCAGAAGCCAGCTGGGTAGTTTTGGACCAATCCCTCCCCTTCACACCAAGCCATATTGTGGGAAAGATACAGTACTAGATTAGATGTTGGGCAACTGTGAATTTTAGCAGTGTTGTAGACATAAAAGCCAGCTGGGGCAGGTTAGGCCAGTCTCTCTCTCTCTCTCAGCCCTAAGAAGAAGGCAATGGCAAACTACCTCTGAAAATGTTGCCAAGAAAACTGCATGGACTTATCCAGGAAGTTATCAGGAGTCAAAACTGTCTTGAAGGTATAAAAAGAAAAAAGAAAAAAAAAAAAAGCACTTACTAGCTGTGAAATGGGCAACCCTTAATAATGCATGGCTTTTGTCAGTGAATATGAATTTGGTCAGTTTTGCTCTTCAAGAAGGCAAAATGCCCCAAACTGGGAAGTAACAGTAGGATAGATAATCCTTTGGAAGGTATAACTATTTATAAAAACAATGCACTGGACTGTAGGAGATTTTAGAACTCTGGTGGATCTGTATCAATTGAGACTGCATATCTGAAAGTATAAAATAAATTACAGCAATAATTTACTTTATTTATTTTACACATTATAAATCATAATTTATTCTATCCAATCATGGACAAGATTCCAAGCTGATCCTCCCCATTGTACAGAATGGAGTAGAAGACTGGGTGATAGAATTACCAACTGTCCGGCCAGTGTTAAGCCACTCAAATGTATACCCTGGCAAAAATCTGGAAGCCCCTCTACAATAAATAGGATTGTGCCGCATTCTGGACTGGAAGGCAAAAGGTGCTTTGGGCCATGCAGAAGTATACACAGAGCACCTGTCTATGACCACTGAAGCCAAATGGGTCTTTTCTGGGATTGGGTTACAGCTGTGGAGGAGGCAGCTGCTTTTAGGAGTTGGAGATGGATGTTGCATTCACACTGCCATGTGCTCCAAAGAACTCCAAATTTGAAGCACTGCACATTCTAATAGGTTAGCCATCTCCAACCTGATGTTCTACAGATGTATTGAAATTAAAACATGTGCAGAACATTATAGGAGTTATAAGGGTCCAGCATGCGAATTAATTATTAAGAGGAAGAGGAAGGTAGAATGTAACTGAGTTGAATAGCTGAATCCCAAACAGCCACATTTCATGCTGTAACATTTTATTGTAGGGTCCTGCATCATCACTCATTATGGCTAACATATGAATCAAAGGGAGGACTTTGTAATGAGTACTGTAGCCTCACTTTCCCTAATTTGGTGCTCCCTAGGCTTGCATAATGTTCACTGAGTAATCAAACCATGATTTGTCAGTTTGACCTACCTTGCAGGCTTCATGCAGATAAAATTCTTTGTTCAAGAGAGAAAGAGGGATGTACTTTGTATGTCACTTTGAATCCCTTGAAAATATGGCAAGCAGGGTAACAAGGAAATAAAAATTTATTCCCTTATTTTTAACAATGTGAAGATAGAAAAATCAGATTAAAGGGAAAGATTCTGACCCTTATGATGATGTGTTATTTGCTAGTTGATGTCCATTTTCTAGTTGTTGTCCTCTTTTTTTTCATAAACACTACGGGATGTTTCTTATTGCTGTTTCCAGACCACCATTATCATCATCATCATCATCATCATCATCATCATCATCATCATCATCATCATCATTTTCCCATCATCGTTTTCCCAAGTGACAAATTTGGCTTCAGATCTGATACCCCTTGGTTTTGGCAGACTATTCTTGCAGTGATTGAGAGAGCTGCCCAGATATGTGAAAGAGCAAAGACCATCTTATCTGTGTATTATATATTCAGTTTGGTTTTTTTAAGCCAACAGCTTGGGTTTATTACTCTGGATCCTTGATCACAGCATGTTCTGTCATTCTGTGGGATAAGAGTCTGATATCCCAGGTCCTTGGGAAGGGCTTGATAGGTGGATAAAAATGCCAAATCCAGCCTAAACATCTGGCTGACTGTGCGACCAACCATGATGATAATAGCATTCTGAATCGGCAACAAGAATATAGGATGGTACTTTTGCTTTCCTAAGAGAGGAGGAAATTTCACAGCAGTAGATGCCTCTGCCCAAATGTTTAGATGCTGAGAGTGCTGGCACATGACTGGTGAACATGGGGATGATGGATACTTATCTTGGATTTGAAAACTGGAGATTGAAGGGGAGGGTGGAAATTTGTCACAAGCTGAGACTGTTAGAAGGCTGATGGTCCAATTAGCAAGAGGAGCATGTTCCTTTTGCTATGCATTGGGGGGAGGGGTATGCAGCAGGTATACAATCTAAAGTCTTATATCTATGAAGGTTAGATTTGTGCAATCTTGCTCGGTTGCGCTCTCTCTCTCTCTCTCTCTCTCTGGCAGGTAGGTGGGT